GGTGGAGACACAGCTCAGTGGTGGAGATGCAGCTCAGTGATGATGGAGACACAGCTCAGTGGTGGAGACACAGCTCAGTGGTGGAGATGCAGCTCAGTGATGATGGAGACACAGCTCAGTGGTGGAGACACAGCTCAGTGATGATGGAGACACAGCTCAGTGGTGGAGATGCAGCTCAGTGGTAGTGTACTAGCGTAGTATGCAGGAGGTCTTAGGTTCATTTCCTAGCACCAGAAAAAAAATCAACAATAAGGATAAATATGACCAGAGTTCTTAAGCTCATGAAAGCTGTAGAGAGTACAAATATTCATCCATAAATACTGCAACAATTTTATAACATTAAATTATCTAGAATTTTTAGTATTTAGAATATTTAAGTATTACACATTAGTGTATATTAAATATTTAGGATAGTGAGTACACACACACACATACACACATATATATATATCACATTGTTTAGAATACTAAATTGAATACTCTCCTTATATCTTGACAGTTTTCATATAGTTCAAGAATGAAAGGGATGTTTATTGAGGATCTATAACATGCTCAGAAATATGTGCACTTAAGTTAGGATGAGAATGACAAGATAACGTAGTTGATTGCTTGACAGTTAAAGGTGAAACACACCTTTTACTGAAGCACTGAGGAGGTAGAGGTAGGTGTTTCCAGTGTTTCTGTGGCTTCCTGACATCTCTGCACCCTCTCAGAAGAGGTTTGTAGAGTAGGGACTGTGTGCTTCCTTTAGAACCTGTCTGCTAGCATTCTCTCACACACGCCTTTCTTTCTGCATGTCATTTCCCAATATACTTCTTTCAGGTCTTATCACATTTCCACAAGCTTCCTATGCCTCATTTTGTCTTCTTCACATCCTCTAGTATTTAGCTAAGTTGCCAACACTCAAAGAAGCCTCCTGATATGTGTCTGTCTTCTATATTCCCCAGCACTATAGAGAAGCCCCTGATTCATAACCCAAGAAGCCATGACAACCTAATTGCACTTATTTTGGGCCAGGTCCCAGGCTGGACACTAAAGACTTTAAAAGTGAATACACACACACACACACACACACACACACACACACACACACACACAATGTTCCTGTCCTCTACGTGAGTTCACAGCAGTGGCAATGGCATCTGGCTCATTATAATCACAGCAGAATGAGATATATAACAAAGTTAAAGCATTGCACAAGCTACAGAGGAACAGAAGCCATTGATTCTACTGTGGACACCAGGAAAGTTTTCTTGGATGAGGAAAATGCTGTGTTCATTATTAAGGACAAAAGTAATGGGTGAGTGTATTCAGACAAAAAATAATAGTATTTGCCTAAGAACCTGGTAGGAGCTGATACTTCTGCAAGACACAGTGAAACACAAAAAGTCATCCGCACAACTACAATCAAACTTCATAAAACTTCCTTCTGGCCCAGAAAGAAATGGAGGATGGGTTCAAGAAAGAATGAGATATAACCAGACAGGGGTTTTCTGCAATAACCCTAAGCAGCAAGAATTCCTAAAGTTTTCATGTAAAAAACACATAATAAATATATTTTGATTTGCAGACCATGTGGCTTATGGCCACTACTCAGTTCTTCAAGTTTAGGGTGGAAACATCCATAGACCATGCTTAAACAAATGTGTGTGACTGCTTTCTAATAAAGCTTTATTTATAAACACAAATGGAGGCTGCACTTGGTCTATTGGTCATAGCTTTATAACCCTTCATTAATAAAGGTAATGACAGCTTTGGAGACAAGGTTTCTAGGGGACTAATCTATAGTCATTAAATCAATGGAGTGACATCAGGGACACAAGATGTATGGCTTGGGAAGAACGATGGTTCTTAGTTTCTTCTCCAGTTGCAGTGATAAAACACCCTAACAAAAGCAACTTAAGGGAAAAGGGGCTTTCTTGGGCTCACAATTCAGGAATCACCACCGTTATAGAATAGTAAAGGCAGCAGGACCTTGAAACAGCTGTAGGTCACAACTAACCTTTTCAACACAATAATAGGTGTGTTCTGAGACTAACACATCTCTCATAGGTGTGCCCAAATGTTTGCCTTCTAAGTTATTCCAGATTCCGTCAAGTGGATGATTAACACTAACCATCACAAGGGCAGTGGTCAAATATTGTCCAAATATTTCTCATTTTATCTCACTCAGGCCTCATGATAACCATACAAAAGAAGGAGCATTACTTTTCCCGTTTAATAAAGGAATAAAGAAAGGCCTTGATAGTTAACCTACTTATCATATCTCCCGTAAAAGGAGACACAGAAGTCCAAGAGAACTAAACTTGAATCCTGACATGAAGACTTGCCAGTTGTTACCTTGTGAGTCTACTGTACCCCAGACAATGGCTTCTACTAACCAAGGCTCTTTCAAGGGTAATGCTGTCACATCAAGGCATCTATAGAAAGATCCAAACTGTTTCCAACAGGAATATTCAGGGAAGAGGTATAATCCAAAGACATTGTCTTGACAACTATGAAAACTCTGGTGAAAATTTCATAGAGGAAGGCTTGACCTGAACACTCTAGAAATGTTTGATGAGTGTATCAAAAAATAGTTTAACACTGGAAAAGATGAAGGCAATTATAGTAACTTTAAAAGAACATCTGCCAGGTTTTCTAACTTTGCTTTTATAACTATCTCTTGTCACTGCAATCAAATTCACTGACTATAAAGCAGCATGTGTGAAGAAATGTGGCTAAAAAGGAATTCACATATATCAGTCTCTAGATGATTGGACCTGTGTCCACTTGTGATGGAACACTCTGAAATCATGTGCCTCCAGATACAGGGAATTAAGGATGGTATACCTCTGTAGCAAGATTTCTAGGATGTTTGCATTGAGTCTAGTGCCGAAGAAATTATCAGTCAAACCTATGCCTCACAAAACTCTTGGTCTGGAGTTGTGCTTTCTTTTAAAACTTAGTATCTTGTGCAAGGATTAAAAAAAAAACCTTAGAAAACAATTCTAGATTAAAGAGGAAGATGAAAATATGCTCAGGACTGGGTGTGAGCCTTGATCATGGGCACCGTTCAGAAACAAAATAAAATATAAAAAGGAACTGTACATAGCAATAACTCAATTTTACTATTGTCTTAGGATGTCAGCAAGTAGCTCATGGTTGGCAGAGCACGTGTGTGTGTGTGTGTGTGTGTGTGTGTGTGTGTGTGTGTGTGTGTG